TTTTTTTATTAACATTGTGGTGTCAGAATCAGTATTGCATATTGAGTCTTTTATTCCTACTACCAATATATACAATGCAAAAATACTGTTGTAGAGCATTCCTTGAGATGTTAAAAAATCCCTAAAAATGGTGTTTACAACTTAGAATTCTGTGCTCACTCTGTATTAAGTCTCGCATTGAGTCCACGTGGTCCTGGGGTTGTCTGATTGGCTCGGGGGCAAGTGCTGGCTCAGGATTGGCCGGAAATCCCCGTAACAGGTGCAGAACGAGGAAGAGGAATTCTGTTCTGTTACAAATAAACTCTAGGGACGTGCGCTAATGCGGCTAATGCCATGAAAAAGTCACTGCTCCATCGGATCAGTCTCTGTTTGCAACACTCATCTGTCTGCACTGTAAACATCTACTGTAGGACTTCTGACTCGTCCCAATATTATTTTGAAATCACATAATTTTGGACAAAGTCTGTTGAAGTCTTGTATTAGCTTTTTTCAAGCAGGATGTATTACAGACAGGCCTATTTAAACTGCGTATCTAAAAGTACCTATTTGTTGCTGTAGTTGTTTATTTTTACAGTGTAGTCTGCTTTTGTCACTTTGCTGGCACATTCTCTCCATTTCTTATCACCCTGACACCCTCCTCCTCTCTCTCTCTCTCTCTCTGTCTGTCTATCTCTCCCTCCACTCCCTCCATGCTCTCTTTATCATCTCTCTCTCCTCCTCTCTCTTTGCCTCTCTCTTATTTCTCCATTCTCACCTCTCTCTTCCTTATCCTCTCTCCCTCATTCTGTCTCTTTACCCTTCACCCCTCTCTCTCTTTCTCTCTCTCTCTCTCTGCCTTGTTGTTTCTCTCTCCCACTTTCCCCATCCCGCCTCCCTACTCTCTCTCCTCTTTTCTACACCCCTCCCTCCATCCTGCCTTTCTCTCGCTCCCTCTTTTGCTCTCTCTCTATATATATATCTCTCTGTCTCTCTCCCTCCATCCTCTGTCTCTCTCTGTCTCTCTCTGTCGCTCTTTCTGTCTCTCTCTCTCTGTCTCTCTTGCTTTCGTTCTTTCTGTTTCAATCCTGCTTTCTGTCTCTCTCTCTTTGTCTCGCTTTCTCTCTGTCTCTCTTTCGCTCTTCCTGTCTCTATCCCAATTTCTGTCTCTCTCTTTATGTCTCTTTCTCTCTCTCTCTGTCTCTCTCCCTCCATCCTCTGTCTCTCTTTTTATGTCTCTATTTCGTTGTCTCTCTCTCTCGCTCTCTGTCTCTCTCTACCTCTCTGTCTCTATCTCTCTTTCCCTATCTCTCTCTCTCTCTCTCTCTCTCTTTATGTCTCTCTTTCTCTCTCCGTCTCTCTCTATCTCTCTCCCGTTCCCTCTCTTTCTCTCCCTCCGTCCATCTCCTCCTCCGGTGTGTGTTTGCAAGCCTGGGAAAAGCATAGGCCATAAACAATGGGTGGCACAAAGCGAGCACCTGCTTCCTGTCTGTGGGCTCATGTTAAATGTGTGCGCACAAATAGAAGCTTGCTGTTAGCATGGCGCGCTCTTACCGTACAACACTGAGGAGAATTAGCAGATAAATCCACATCACCGCACTTTATATGACACAGGCCTGTTTACGGAGTTTTATGGCCTATACAGTGAGACGCTCGGACACATGTGGCCAGGGAATCATATTACAGGGCCTATATTGCGTTAAAGATTTATTGTGTAAATTTTCTGGTGGAGAGTCTGAAGCCTGAGATGTTTTTATTTTTGCTTTGTCTAGAATGGCTGTAGACCTGCAGTTGTTTGATCGATTAATCGGTCTGAAATCTTAGTCGACTAGAATTTGTATTAATCAACTTATCATTTAATTTAGATTGATTTAATCTGTTTTTATATAAATACATTGTTTCCTAGTACTTTTTTTTCTGCATAAATAGTAGTTTTTGCATGAAGTCCCCCTGCAGGTATAGTCTTTTGAGTGAGGTTTGGGTCAGAAACCACAGAAATCTTCAGCCACGCCCCCTTTTTAGTCAACTAATCCATTAGCAGCACATGTATTTAAACAACCCAAAACTACTTTATGTCACTACAGGCCCCGAATGTTTCACAGTATGATATTAAATGTGTCTAACTCCATGGAGGGAAGTAGGTGAAGCCTTCAGGCCAAGTTACCGGTCAGATTTGTGGAGAGGTGATCCTACTCACAGTAAGAATCTCTTCTGGTCAGTCACAACCTCTCCCAGATCCTGTTTGAACCGATCCAGATTTTTCCAGTGCCAATACTGACTCTGATACTATAGCTTTAAGCAGGGGTCTCCAACCTTTTTTCCCTCCAGTGAGCTACTTTTACAAAACAAACGTGCCAGAGAGCTACTCATTTTAACGGCTGCAAGAAATGTTGTAATTATGAGAGCCACGGTGTTAGATAGGAACAGTTAGAGGCCTATAAAACATAAACCATTATCCATTTATTAGTGCTGAAAGTAAAGTTAGGCATGAAAATGATACATTTACAATTTTAACAGTCATTCTATTCATCAAATTTTAGTTATTCAGCACAAAACTTATAATTCAGAAATTCTTTGGTGAGATACTTTGGAGGAGATGGAGAGCTACAGGTTGGAGACCACTGGCTTTAAGTATCTGCTGATACTCAATATCAGTCGATACTGGTGCAGAGACTGAAAACAGCATTTATTGTCTTAAAAAAAATACTGTTCTGTAGCAACTTTGTATGAATAAAAGTTCAAACATTATGAAACTTTCTGGGCTGTCAACAACTGGTCTTGCTGCATCAATATATAAGTCCAACCAGAATATCAGCTGAACTGATATTTAATAATAATAATGATGCATCAGTTTTATATAGTGCTTTCCTGGACACTCAGAGATGCTTTACAGAGCATTATTCATTCACTCCACTTGGTGGCAGCTAGCTATAATAGCCACAGCTGCCCTGGGGAAGACTGACAGAACTGAGGCTGCCAATCTGAACCATTGGCTCCTCCGACCACCACCATTACTCACGCACACACCACTTTCATAAAAGGCAATGTGTGTGAAGTGCCTTGCATAAGAACACAACAACTTGCGCCCCACCTTGGCACCTGATTTTCCCAGTGGTCTCCCCTCCAAGTACTAACCAGGTCCAGCCCTGCTTAGCTTCTGAGATCTGACGAGATCTTTGACGAGACTTTGACAAGCTGGTATGGCCACAATTTGGAAGCCGATATTTGATCTAGCAAAATTTTACCAGTACCAGTATCGGATCAGTCCATCCCTAGTTAGCAGTAAGATTCTTTCCGATGGTCAGTCCACAAGCCCACTACATCACCCATGCTCTAACACAACAATTCTCAATATATATAAAGCATGATACAAAACTGTACACCACTTCACAACCCTGATTGATGTGCAGTAATTTCATAGCAGGATGCACGCTGATTGTATTGTGATATTGCTCTGAAGGGGGAGCAATAGGACAAGGGGACACAGAACTTCATAAATGAAAGTGAAACTTATTAAACATGTCAATACGTTGTGAATATAGCATTTTCAAACAATCACAGGTAACATGATCTAAATAAGTTATGAGTCAACAGCATACCCTCTTTAAATATGTTTTATTGAAAACTGTGGTCTAGCCTGTCATATACAATTTAACACAAGACCTTTTCAAAGATCAGAGGAAGGTTGCAGTTAAGGGCTTTGGACAAGCCCTGTACAATTCAATACAATACACCTATACAGGCTTTTCCTCACTTAACAGCTGCAGGCCAATCGATAGCCCTGAGCCACTGTAGGATCGTACAAGTCGATACAGCGCTCACACAAAACCCGGCGTCGCCACGGAGATCTAACATGGCCGCCTTCCTTCACATAGCGCTGTTTGGAGAGTTCTGGAGGTGTCAGGTGCACAGCAAAGGTCTTGTGGTTCAAAACGCTGAATCTTTATCGATCACATGCGGTACAGTGCGGTCAGACATTTGAGACCAGAGGACTAAAGGGAATCCCCACTCTGCTACGGGGAGTACAGGATGTCAACGTTGGTCGATTTTACAATTAAACTTTATTATCGATGTGGCTGTGGTATGGTATTCTTGGTGCGCTGGGGTATGTGGTGCTGACTCTACACAATGCTCTGTTTAAAGCTTTGTTAGACTTTAATCTGAGCTTTGTTTAACACAATCTGACCAGGAAGAGATTGCTTAGTTGGAATTACAACAGGAAAGCTGGTTTGTGCTGTTAAACAAGTCTCTCACGGATAAAATTACAGTCACAAGTTAGGAATTTGATTTTCAGTAAAAAGGTGAGAGTAACTAACAGGAACATGAACACTCGTATTGATCACAGACAGCTGAAAATGTGCAAAAAACATTCTGCCATACACACACATGTAGAACAACCCCAGCATGATGTCACTGCAAATTATCAGTTCATTAACCAAGACATCATAGGAGAGATGCTGGTGCCAGGTTGTAGAATGAAAGCTAATTTACACCTGTAGTCCCTGAGCAGGCGGGTGGAAATACTGAAAATATGTATATGTTGAGTATAGAGACCAAAAATAAAGTAAACAGATATTACCTAGGGTCACTTTATATATTAACAGGTTTAAAAGCAAGCTAATACCTGATTTAATCATTGTAAACAACATATTGCCACCTGCTTCTCTCCTCAAAGATACATTTAAAGGAATTGTAGAACAGAATCAGCCTCAGTCAAGTCTTTCATTTGGCTTGCCAGTTTCAATGCTGGTTTCAAATTTAGTTTAAATGCAAAATGCTTCTCTATCTGTACTCTATCTGCAGGGTCTGGCAACACAGGTTCAGTTGTGATTGTAGTACTTTTTTTTTTTTTTTTTTTTAAAGAGCCCAGAATACATGCAGTTCCTTTAATGCCGTACTGCAGAACATTCTAGGCCAGGATCTATTTATTATTCGGCCACCCCTATATTCTCACCTAAAAGTGTAACATTATATTCTATAGAATGCTGTGTTTGCCTCTTTATAATGAAACTCAAATGTTCCAGAGGAGGAGAGGGAATTCCGTCCAGTTGGAGTGACTCAGAGCTGAGTCAGGAGCAGGTGTCCACACTCAGAATATCCACAATCAGCCCCAGATCTGAGCGTCAGCGCGAGTGAGCCTGGAGCGCACCAGCGTGAGGGAGCCTGAGTCTGCGAAGCATACGGAGAAGCAACTGTGTGTGTGGAGCTCAGAGGAGGTGCAATACGCTACAACAGGAGGCACAGGGAGGAGGAGGTACCAGTACTACAGGGCTTTGGAATCTTCATCTCATCCTCTAACTATTGATAGGCTACTGTGCAGTGACATAGGGCTGGGGGTGTTCTACATGTATCTCTAATGGAAAGCTCAGATTATGTTAAAATAAAGCAGATATTAAATTCTAACAAGTCTAAGATAGAGCAGTGCTTACAGTTAGCATCACATCCCAAGGGGACGTCCATGATATCAGCTGCAAAGTATCAACCAGCTGATCCAGTAACAATAAGCTCTGGGGGTAATAGCGCCCAACAACCTGACTGTTAGCAGCACTACTTCCTGTCCAATTGTTTCCTATCTCTGTGTTTTTGTTGAGTCGTGCTAAAATGAGTAAATATTTAAAGATAAGGCAGTGAACAGGGAGCTGCGGATGTCACAACATGTTAACGACACAAATCAAATCAGTTACTTTGGATTTTAATCTGTTGTTTATTTTTTATGTTTTAAGATTTGAATAAAAGTGACTGTCAGCTTTGAGACACAGTGAGGTAGATAGCGTGCTGCTGTACACAGAGCCTATTGCTGGGTCATTCCCCCTTAGTTCACCCCAAAAAATTGCAATTTGAACCCTCACATTGTCTAATTGCAAAGGTGGGGGTAAGTGAAGTTCTAGGCAAATTTGTGTGAAAATAAAAATGAAAAACCCCTCCAGATTTTTTATATGTTGTAGTAGATGTGTAGGGCTAAATTTTTTCTGTTGGTGTCATTGAGGTCGGGCGTGTCCTTTACTGTCAATTTCAAGGTCAAAGTATAGGTCAAAAGGTAATTCATCTCAGTTCATGAAGTCCTCAAATGCAAAAATAATAATAAAATTTAGATTCCTTACGATTTCCCCTTTCCAGAGATACCTTTTTGATATCGGACTGGTAGTTGCTGAGTAAATGCAATTTGAAATTTTGCAACCACTCAAAAAAGTGCAAAATGAAATTGTGATATCTCTGAAACTGTTGGTCCGAACAAACAAAAATTTTAAATCTTGGCTTTTCTGGCTATGATTTACCTATATACCAACTTTAATCAAAATTTGACAAAGTAGGGCTTAACTTATTGGGTGAACTGAGGTGGACTAACCCTGCTGCTCATGCTGTTTGAGCTCTTGTCCCTTATATGTGCAGAAGGCTCTAGAATCACACCATAGACCATGACAAACCTCTGTCCTGTCTTGTCAAACCCAAGACGCTCATTCCTATCACATGTCTCTCAAATGTTAACGATATCTGCATTAGAAAATTCTTCTATTCAGAACAAAATATATGTTGTTAATGAGACTCTGTGATTTTGTTATTGGTGACTTGTTATTACAAAATCCAGACTTTCCTAGAGCGTGACCTCTTATCTAAAAGACCTGAATTCCGAAGAGCACATGAACACAGCAAATCTCCCACTCATGATAAAAGACCAGATTATCTGTGTGGCACTCTCTATTGAGTTCTACACATTATCAGTCTAATGGCTCTCACTGAAAAAGATAGGGAAATCTGGCTTCTGCTCAAAACCACAGTCTTGCCCTCTGATTGGTCCAGTCTCTCCCTATTTATTTGTTTTGGAAATCAACCAGTGTGGGATTTTTCCATAGTCTATGCAAACAGCAATCAATCATTCAGCCAAACAACATACAAATGATCTTGGATGATGATCTTGTTGTAAAAATGCACAACAACAAAATGTATATGAACATTTAGAGTGAGATTTAAACAAATGTTCCCCCAATGGTTACTTACTCTCCCAGTTACAGTTTTTCAATGTAGATTTTTAGCTAGGGCGACCAGATTGACAAAGTAAAAACTGGGAGATTGCTGTTTTTTTAGTGGTTGGTAATAATAAAACTGTGAAACGAGTGCATAATTAAGGAAAATTGTTATGCAGAGACCATTCATGACTAACATGTGAGTCAGTATAGTCACGTTTTCTTTGTGTTTTGGTCATTTTTAAGCTTTTCTGTATTTTACCTAAAGAAATGACAGTGTATGCTCTTTACAGTCTGCAGGTATCAAAAAAATTGTCAAAAGTAGGGCCATCTGGGACATTTCTTGTATAAAACTGGGCCAAATCACTGGTTTTGGATAAATCTGGTGGGACAGGGGATACACAAATAAATAATAAATAGGGATGTCTGGTCACCCTATTTTTAGCTCAAACATCTGTAACTGAAGTGCAAGTCCCATAGATATAAATGGACATACCTAACCCGCTACCCACCGTGTTCCAGTTGATAAACAAGCATGGGTGTACTTATGGCTCCATTGACTCCAGCTCCAATTGACTTTACGCTGATAAACTGTAACTCCTCTTTCTGTAACTGCTGCTGCAAGGCCTGTCATTTTGGTCTTAAAATGTTCGTATTAATCCACTGTACATGATCCTGGTGTTTTTATTTCGCTATTGGCCAACAAATTTCTATTCTTAATATGAAACTCTGCTCCTAATTCGCCCCTATAACTGATAGCCTGAACGCTATGGGTGACGTCACACTCCCTTAGTCCACTTCTTTATACAGTCTATGGCAAGACCGACTAAGAACTTTAATGCCATACTGTGGAAAATTCTACACAATAACATCTTTATGGAGATGAGACTTGGTTGACTATTTACTACGGTGACCAAACGTCCTTATATACCTGGGGCAGTCCTAGTTTTGAGCCCTGTGTAGCCTGTCCCAGCAGATTTATCCAAAAGCAGTGATTTGTCCCATTTTTATACAAGAAATGTCCCTGGTGTCCCTATTTATGACCAATTTGATCCCTGCCAACAGTACAGAGAGGCATAAATTGGCATTTGTTGAGGTAAAATACAGAGAAGCTGCTTAAAAATGACCAAAACAAAGAAAATGTGACATGAATAGACAGAGTGCAGAACAGTTTTCCTTAATTACGCATTCGTTTCACAATTTTATTATTATCAACCACCCAAACCAGGAGTGCCCCAGTTATTTATTTTGTCAGTCCATCTTTCTAAACGTTTGTGTATAATTATTATCAATGTTTTTTCTTGCCATTCATTGCTCTTGCGATCGATCCATTCTGGGGAAATCTCCTCTCTCCTCCCGCTGAGCTACTCCATGGAGCTCATTGATTTTTGATCGAGCTTGGTTTTTCTGTGCAGGCCTTTTGTTTAATTCATGACTTCACTCCAGAGCCCTGATGCTAGCACTAATACTATGCTAATGCTATGCTCGCGGTCAGTATTCTGCTCTTGCCTGATTGGTAATGGCCTGGAGCGTTCGAGAGCTCTGTGTCTCCTTTATGATTATGTGAAGATGCCTTGATTGTCTGTTCTCCAGAGAAATTGCACAATAGAATCGTGCATTACTTACACTGCAAAAAAGCTATTGCCTCTTAATGTGAGCCAAATAAAAATAAAGGACACCACACACTACAGGAGAATTTGCCCAAGTTTTGGCTACGATTTGCTTTTCCCCTTTGAGTCTTTGTGTGCGATTTTGAAGCCGCTGTGCTCCTCGTGTGTGTGTCAGTGTGACTCTGAGCTGCTCTGTCAGATCATTAAACATCAGCAACGCTACGGAAACAGCCAATAAAACAGAGTGTCAATGGCAGGCGGGGTGATGTACACAGAGATGCAAAGTACAAACTCGGGAAATAGTGAAAATAATGAGAAGCCTTTATTACTCAGCTCTCGTAAAGCTGTACATTTTAAGTGCAGCATCTCATCCACATTATCCATAGAAACTGTCCTCTGCAAATAACGGCATCCAGTCCACAAAACTGCACTATTAATCCAGTTTGAGGAGTTCTTTAAAAGTAAAAAGGCCAGAGTAGTTCCTCCCGTGTGTCTGTTTACGTCCACACAGCACGGATCAAGGTGAAGCTGCAGATTAGCGACAGTGACTCTCTACTTCCTGTGGACTTTATTGGCAGTCTATGCTTTAAAAATGATGTATAATGTAATAAGTATTGCACCACATGTAACGAATAATAACCCAGTTTTGTATCTAATCTAGAAGTGCAGCGCTCTGATCTTTTGAATGCTTTAGAGTCTGAAAGCAAGTGGTTTTACACTCGTTTTAGACAGGAAACAACTGATCACGCTCACGACTTTATAACCTGTGATCTGCAGACAGATCCCACAGCAGTCTTTGCGATTAGAGATTTTAAATCTCATAAGATTCTCCTTGTGTCTGTGGTGTGCTCTTTTTGTCAGACGTTTAAAAATCGTTTAAGACCGAAAAATCCTGTAGTGTGTGGCAGCCTTAACTTGCATTCAGAACACGAAGGTGCTGTATCTGATTTTTATGTCTTTATAGTTACATACATTATTGTAAAAACAGCTATTGATATTTTGCTGGGGGTGTTCTACATGTATCTCTATTGGGCGAGTGTTAATTATCAAAGTTACACAATGCACACATTAGCAAACACAGACACAAAAGTTTTAAGATAGAAGAAAAAAATACAAATTGGATTAAAAACACATTTTCAGGAGCCTGTGATCAATAGGAGCTTTCATGATTTGGTTTAGGTGTTTGATTTTCATCAAAAAGAGCTTGTGACTGTAATTTTATGTGTGAGAGACTTGTTTAACAGCACAAATCAGCTCACCCATTGTAATTCCAACCTAATAGTTTTTCTAGCCAGATTGTGTTAAAACAAAGCTCAGATTAAAGTCTAACTTGCATAACAGAGCTTTAGACAGAGCAGAGCCTACAGTTAGCATCACACTTCCCTGGAATGTTGATGACAGCTTGGGAAAAAAACTATGATTTTCAGATGTATTTCTAAATGGTCTTAGCTGGATCAGAACCAGAAGGAAGCAACTGCCAGAAACGGCAAATTTAATCCAAGCCCAGATGTTGACAGTTGAGAACTATGTGGAAAGATCTGCCAGTGACAATGCCAGACAGTTGTGAAATGTTCCTGGTTAAGTTCTGTGGTTGTGTCTTTAGGCAAGTCAAATCACCTCCTTTGTCTAGTATGAAAGTGGTGTGTGTGTGAGTAGTCAGCGGCAGCCTTACTTCTGTCAGT